GTATCATTAAGACACATGGTAGTGTGTCGTGCGGTCAAGAAAACAATTGATACGCACGACACAGTGTTATCTGGTTTTTATCTGATCTCAGTTGACTAGGATTTCTAAGCCTACAACAGCCTAGATCATACAGTTTCTTCTTCAACATGTGATAGTTTGCATGTATGTAAGTAGCAATATAATGTTGTACTGTTTCTAAGCCTACAACAGCCTAGATCATACAGTTTCTTCTTCAACGTGTGATAGTTTGCATGTATGTAAGTAACAATATAATGTTGTACTGTTTCTAAGCCTACAACAGCCTAGATCATACAGTTTCTTCTTCAACATGTGATAGTTTGCATGTATGTAAGCAACAATATAATGTTGTACTGTGTCTAAGCCTACAACAGCCTAGATCATACAGTTTCTTCTTCAACATGTGATAGTTTGCATGTATGTGAGTAACAATATAATGTTGTACTATGCCACTTTGAAACTATTTTTTATATTTTACAGATTCTCTGCACGTTGGACACTCAACTGATATGTAGGCCAAATGCTGCTTGATGTGATAAATCCATGTTTGTAAGTTTGTGTAAAATCCATGTATTTACAGTTCACACTTGTACGGATATGTATCTTTTAATTTTGTTGATCACAATAAGGTGTGATGATATCCCTCACAATCACTTCTGCATCCTGCTTTTTAAAAAGTAGTGATATCCAAACCAAAAAGCTAGAACACAGAGATTACTTGTTATTTAAAGTTATAAGATAGATATTGCTAGCTATATAAAGCTGTAATATAGAGATTACTAACTATTTAAAGCTGGAACATAAATATTAATAGCTGTCTAAAGCTAGAAAATAAAGTTTACTAGCTTTTTAAAGCTGAAGCATAGATATTATTAGCTATTTGAAGCTGGAACACAGAAATTACAAACTATTTAAAATTAGAACATAGAGATTACCATATATTTAAAGCTGAAAAATAGAGATTACTAGCTAATTGAAAATGGAGCAAATACATTACAGATTACTTATTGCTGTAATATAAAGATTACAAACTATTTATAACTGGAACAGAGCAATTGCTAATTATTTAAAGCTGGAACATCGAAATTACCAGCTAATTAAAGCTGGAACTTAGAGATTACTAGCTATGTATAGCTGTAAAATAGAGATTACTAGTTATTTAAAGTTGCAACTGACAGCGATTATTAGCTATTTAAAACTGGCACAAAGAGATAACCAGCTATTTAAAGCTGGAACATAAAGATGACTGAGCTGGATTCAAACTAATCCAGTTCCAGCAGATCAGATACCCGTGAAGTCACTTAATCAACTCTAATGGACTTTTATGACCTTGTTCTTCTTAAGCTGCACTTGGAAGACATTAGCTGGTTATAGTAAACTGCACAAGTGGAGTGAGACAACATTGGAATGCATGAATGTTTTCATAGAAACATTACCAGAGAGCCATTGCTAAGAAGCAGTTAAGCAGATAAAGTAAGATCGCCAAAGAAATTACCTGTTTAATGCTAGTATGTCAAACTTAACTATCGTCTCAAGAAAATATAAATATCCTTACATATCATTAGTAAAATCTCCTAGAGGTTCTTTTAAATCTGCGTCAGCATGAATCACTAGAACTAATCAAACTGTACTCGGAGCAGTATAATAATTAACCTGGATTACGATATTCAAATATAGCACAGTTGTGTATATAAAAAATAACTATTTCTAGGGTGCATTTATCCTTACATTTAGTTTGCCTTGCTACAATTTTACTGGTGTAATAGACTTGTTATAAATGTTTAATCTTATTTATCTCACATTGACGTGGCAACTTACAGGACAAACTCAGATAATTTTTTATAATGCTAGTTACTCTGTAGTAATTACAATAGAACAAAATTCAGGCATTTTTGCTAAAAAGATAACACTAAGTTTGCACTGGATTAAAATGTACGGTCGCGTTGAAACGAAAAAGGAATGTAAAAATATACTTCACAAGAGTTATTCAAACTTATTACACCCACACCCAGTTGACTGTGCATTTTGACTCTTGTCAGAGCCATGTACGTATATCGCGGTAGAAACGATCCTCAATAGTAAGTGTTGCAGTCTGTATTAAGGCTTAGAATTACTTGGTAAAATATGGAAAACCCACGTATGAGAAACGAAGAAGGAAGCTGTTACAATAAAATCCAGTCGTTTCTTTATGAGGTAACAGCGTAAATGCTTTAATAGAAAACCCTGCGAAATTAAAATATAAAGTAATTAGGCTGTGATTTGTTTCGGTGTTAAGCACAAAGCTACACAACGGGCTATCTTTGCTTTGCCCACCATAAGTATCACACCCAGTTTTTAACGCTGAGCCACTGGGGGAACTAGGCTATGAACAAAAAGTTTCATTTATTGTCTGTTGAAACAAAATCCTATTAATATATGTGTGCGCGAAAAATATGACACATACGTGTAATGCAACCTTCGAATACTGCTTTATAGCGCTGCAATTTGAGGTTCGATCACCGTTGTGGACACAGTACTAATAGCCAATTGTGCAGCTTTATGCCAACAAAATAGGTGATAGTTAAGGAAGCGCGATAAAAAATTCGAAAATTGATGTCCATTAATCTAAAGTACAAGCATATAAGTGTAGTTTTAAATATATACTCTCAATATGCATTAGTCTTAGCACCCACTTATAGTTTGAGAAAAGTTGTAATGATACGTTAAGTTCTGTGCCCAATAAAAGTTTACAACTAAACTCGAACAGAGTTATTCACTATTTAATGCAAGTTTCTTTAACTATGTTTTGATACACATATTTTTTTATTTCCTGCAAAGCTACTCGAGGATTATCTGCGCAAGCCCATTATTTTGAAGTGGCAAACAAGGGGGATAGCAGCTAGTCAACACCACACCCACCATCAACTCTCGGGATACTCTTTAGAAATAGATAATGGCATTGCCCATTATAATGTCCGAGCATTTCAGTGACGGGATTTGAGCCCGCGACCGGCAAGCTGATTTTTTGACAAAGTTGTTAGGTAACTATGGATAAAGTTGCCTACAAATTAGCTCAGACTTTCTCTGTAGATGGCCACTCCCGATTAAAGGTACACAGTAACTACAAAGAGTTGAATACGTCATATTAATAATTGTGGAGCCTTACTACATCATTACAGTGCAGCTTGACAATAGCCATGGAGCATAGTTTCCATTTAAAGAGGCTCCGTCGTGAGGCAGTAATGTCCAAAACACACTACTAATCCCTGCAAGCTCTCCGTGATCCATTTGGTGTAGAGTACAATGATTTCCCAGCACTTGTTTCAACCGTCCGATCACACACAAATCTATTGGCACTGTGTACGGCAAATCGACCATAAGGAATGGCATGAACATCCATCTCATTCTCCAGCTGTTTGAGGCATGCAAAAGTTTAATGAGAGGTATGACTTGAAGTTTTATTTTTGTGAATTCATACCTGTTGTCCTCGTTTTCTTACGCTGATTTTTCTTCATTATTTTGTGCACTGTTGCCAAGGTGCGTGGAGGGCTTTTGTTACTGACCTTCATGTTCATTGGTTCTCACCTGTTATAACATGCCGTATTTTGATTACCAAGAGTCGGGTATGACTTGTTGCAGGGCCCATTCTGGATGGTTCTGGTATCCTAAGTTGATCCATATTCCTATATTTTCCAGTGAAATTCAGTACAAAGGATATTCACTTCTTGGAAATTCTAAATCCTCAATCTGAACACATTTTTTGATCTATGTGTATAAATATTTTTCGTCGGAAAGCATATCCTTCGCAAAAGCGATAAGTTTTTGGTATCACATTACCTACTAAATGACAGACACTGTGGAAATATAGTTCTGATATATGTCGTTCCACCGTCACTTTATACTGGCTGTATTTATCATATGATTTACTGATTTGCATCTTCGAAATCGGTTTATTATATCATACTAAACCCTACATTTGTAGGTTGCAGACTAGTCATGGTAGCGATAATACAGACCATATAGCGATTCACTTATAAAGTTTCTTAGAAATATTCATTAAATCTACTGTAAGTATATTAACTGTGTAAAATTTGATAAATAAAATATATATTCTATGAAGTAGCTTCTGCAATGGCATTTTGATACGCTTCGGTATGCGACACGAGCTCTACATATTTCAAGCATTTCCGAAAAGAGATCAAAGTTAGAGCGTTACTTTTGTAATTTAGTTACATTCATATAAGAACCCTAATACTGATTATACAAAATTTGTTCTGCATGCAGTGAACTACTGATTCAAATTAAATATTCAGCTAAAACGTAATTAATAACTAACACTGACAACTTCAAAGTTTTTCTTAACCAAAACTACCAGTGTTTGTTTGTAGTTAAACACAAAGCTACATATTGGGCTATATGTGCTCGAAACCCGGTTTCTGACGCTATAAATCCCCAGACATACCGCTATGCCACTGGGGGTAGCTGCGTAGTGTTCTACATATTACATTAGATATCGTTCTTGTACGTAAAAGCACCAAACATACATTAATGAGTGAAAAATAATGACAAAAATCTTGATAAGTAGGAAATCGAGGAGTTATATTTTCTAAAACAAATCTTACCATATGCACATATATATATATAACATGTTCTTACCATTGTGTGTACACACACACACATATATGTATATAACATGTTCTTACCATTCTATGTATACACATATATACAAAAATAAAACATGTTCTTACTGTTGTATGTATACACACACACACACACATATATATATAACATGTTCTTACCATTGTATGTACACACACACATATATATAACATGTTCTTACCATTGTATGTACACACACACACACACATATACATAAATGAAACATGTTCTTACCGTTGTATGTATACACACATATACATAAATAAAACATGTTCTTCACATTAAAATAGTGTTTCAGTTACATTTTACTTTGCACATTAAATAAAGGCTAACTTGTGACTAACCGTTCAATTCTTGGTTGTCGTGTTAAGGAAAGTCCCATTGTAAATATTGTTTTTCCATTACACCAGGCAACTTGAAGAAAGAATGATCTTCGCACACTTAGTTTGTAGAATCCATAACTGGAACCAGCAGTAATGTAATCAGCATTTTACGTGTGTGAATCACTTCTAGTCACACAACCTGAACAAATTATTATCAGTAATACTGCTATCATACTAGCGAACCTTGAACAAGGTAGCTGTAGCTTCTAGTTATTATCTGTAATAAACGGAGCAAAAGTTTATATATTAATATGGTTGCTTAGATTATCTTTACACCGTTTATACATAGAAAACTATTATTATTCTGATAAATTCCTATTTGTTTTTCTCCAAGTCGTTAGTACTCACTTCGTAACGCAAGGGCAACAGTATTAGATATAATGTTTGATATTATTGAGAACTTCTATTAAACAATAAGCTGACTATATGGATCAAAACTAAAAAGAAATGTATGAATTAATTACGTCAAACTTTTATAACAAACTGACTGATTACAAGTGCTTAATATAAGCTTATAAGCCATGTTGATTTGAATGTACTGAACCATTATCTGGGCGCTCGCTGTTATCGACATTTTCGGCCATGATCCCAATAATATCTCATGATGGTCAGCAAGTTTAGGAGACGTAGGTTAATCTTAAATCCAACTAAGTAAATCGTGCAAAATAATCTTAATAAGTGCAAACTTTGATTTAAAAATATTCAAACTTATTTAAACATAAAAAGTAATAACATTATATAAACCAAGAATAATAAAAGTGTACAAGGCGCCTATACAGATAATGATACCGACTTTCTGTCACTGATCCATAAAAATATATTAAAGTTAATCTTAAAATATAATAACGCTAAAAAATCTCATTTTGATATTTGTATTGGACACAGCACAGATAATCATGTAGTTTTATGCTTAACTACAAAATAAAAATCTTTGAGGAACTCTTCAAAGTCATTTTTCATGAGGGTCGATCAACAACATCAGTTGAAAGAAAACATCTTTGCGACAGGAAAATTTTGATTACCAATTGTTGGCACCTACAATATATAAGGCCATGTACAACTACTGTTACATGGCAAACCTCTGCCAGTTCAAAAAAATCACTTATTTCAGATGAAAAGAAAAAATATTTAGTGGTGCTGTGAAAATATATGGCTAACAGTATGTAATGTGGTAATTAAATTCGATGACGAGGAACCCACTTTGAGACTAATAATGCTTGGAGACGGCTTGAATGGGTAATGAAGGTACCTGATGATGACAAAACCTTGTCGAAACGTTGTACATTTGCTGTTATGTTGAACTTATATTAAAGTTTTACTTCTTTACCCATTCAAGCCGTCTCCAAGCATTATTAATGTGGTAATTAGTTTCGTTACTTTTCTCTACTAATGTTGGAGTAAGATTTTGGGGAAATCATATGAAGTGTTTGAATCTACTTATGTTTTTTCCAGTATTGGAAGCTGCTGGAGATAACGTTATGGCTTAGATAACATTCTTGTGGCAAAGGTTTAATGCTTTGATTCCTTTTGGAGGTCGGATAATTATTATAAAAGTGTAAATCATTATAATATAGTTAGTACTTGAAACTATCGCTACTTGGTGAAACTCCATGATTACAGAAATGAAGATGCGTTTATTTGATGTAATCATACCACAAAATGTGTTCTACACACTCCACATCGTCATTACATGTAGGAAGACAACCAGGAAAGGAAATGGATTTTAGGAACTAGGTACACGCTTAGAAGGAGCAATGGAATGATAGGTATAAAAAGGCAAATAGAAAAGATGGCAGGTTCTTATTTTATATTCTAACTTGTCAATAGCAGTAATTTGAGTTACTAATTCATAAAAAACTTTAGACTTTGTATTTGGACAACATACCACGTTACACACACAGAAATCAATATTTAGGTGTATTCTTTTAATATTTATTTTTAAAGTAAGAAATTAACTAATGTATAATACGAACCTTTGAATTATGATCTACAATTTGATATCAAGCTTATTGACATAAATTCATAAAACAGTTGTCCAATAAAATTTTGAATGCAAGTCAACAAACGCGATGACATGGCATTTGACCCGTGACGATAGGATTAATAAACATCTTCAGTAGTACTAAACTTGACCAATGGGAAACATAATGCAAACTGAGAACTAAGTATACGGCGTGTACCCGCGTACACCCTTATTTCCATCACTGAAGACAACCCGCATTGTCACACATTAAAGCCCTTCCAGGTGGAAGAAACAGCAGTGAGCGTTTGTAATGAGATTAACCAACTCTCATATTTTAATGGTGTGCGTGTGTATATATAAATATTTTCTTCGTATGTCTAACACGAGAGGTATCTTGTTATTTAATTTTCTTACATATAGCTAAGTAAAATAAACACGCATCATGCTCTCTTCACAAAAAGTTGTTCCACTATGTTGCATGAACAAAATATATTCAGTATTTTATTATGAGAGTAATTTATTTTTCATGTAAATTTGTGTTTACAATCAGAGAACTTAAGAAATAAAGCATGTATATAAAACATTAATTTCATATCAAGCAAAAGACTGGTAAAACAACAGGTTTTATAAAAAGCAAAAGTCTTTCAAATGCAAAACTATTCATTCAACATAACCAGAAAGAGGGGTGAGATGTGTGGAGAAAAGGTTAAGAGCATGTCAGTATGATCATTTCAGTATATGATCTTGGCCATTATGTTTGCATATTTTGTAACAAATAAGGTAATTATTATCGAGGTAGAATACAAATACACTTAGCACTGTCAAACAGAGTAATGCGTGTTATATTAAATATCTACATGTGTAATTTGTATAATAAGAAAGTTTCTATGGACATCACGAACGATTTGTTAGAACAGCAAACAATTTTATCAGCACCTGTAGAAAGATGTGAAATTCAGCATTTTATCGATCACAACAAAACCTTACCAAAACATATATAATGACCAAATATAACATCCAATTATTAAAAATAGCGTCTGTAACCTTATATTAAATATTCAGTATTTGTTTGGTCCTCCTTGTACTCTAATAACCTCCACAAGGCGACGTGACATGCTTTCGATGAGGTTATTGATGTAATCCACCGTGATGTCATCTCAACTTGCCATTAGAAGACGCTGCAACCCAACTGCAGTAGCTGGTTTAGAATCGTGATTAGCAATTTTGTGGCTCAGTTCTGCCTAACAGTTCACAATCGAATTACAATCTGGATACTTTGCTGGCCATGGCAATCTTGTAACATCCTCCTGGTCGAGATAATCCTGTAGAATACGCTCTCCCTGTGTAATGGCATTTTTCATCATGGAACATAAAGTTATTGCTAAACCATGCCCTAGCATATGGCAGAAATATAATCTCCATGTGATGCTTGTAGGCAGCGCAATTGACGTTTCCCTGGAGGACATGAAGAGCAGTTTTTCCACCATGATAAATAGCTACCCAAACATGTACTGCACCATCTTCTGTGTGTTCCCTATGGGAAAAACAGTCTTCCCTCATTTGTTTTCCAGGCAAACGACTAACACGAATCCTACCATCAGCTTTAACAAGTCCGAAACAAGACTTAACTGAAAAGATAACATGTCATCAGTGTTCTAACTGTAAGATGGCATGTTGTCTTTCCCAAGTGACAGTGGGGAATTCTGGTTAATATCGGTTTGCAGATAGCCATTCTTGCAAAATAACGTTGTTTGGTCAGTCTCCTATTCACTGTTCTTCTGGATACCCTGGAATGGATGTGTTCATGTGCTCGAGCTCATGGAATTTTAAACGTTTTATTTTATTGCAGTTTTCTTAAGCTAAACTTCCAGGTTACATGTATTACCCATATGACTATTGGAAATTATTATAAAAAAATAAGGGACGTTACATCTTTAGGACATCATTTAGCCTGCCAGTGAGAAATATCACTGTCCACTTTTATATAAGAAGTTCATTACAGAAATCTTTCCCAAAAGTGCATATGATACAACAAGTGAATGACCCAGGAAATAGGTAGCAAGGACAAAAGGAACTTAGCGACTTCATAGCCAATGCTCTCTGTTGCAATAACGTAGACTTGCTTGGATATATGAAAATTGTAAAAAGTTTTATGCTAAACCACGAGGTGGAAAACACGTATTATGTCTGCATAACACACTGTTACTAATCTACTATTGCTACCAGATATACAACGTATTTCAGTAATTGTGAGTCAAATGCAAAAAATAAAACTAACAATGTGAACTATTCTAAAATTCAGCACTAACACTTCAACAATTCCCAACCATGACACTACTCATAATGTGACCAAACTCCATGCATAGTGCTAAGTATAAAGTAACAAATTTCAATATATAGCACAGAGCCTAATAACTCCCAGTCCTACATCTTGAATAATGAAACAAGAGTTCACTTTATACACACTTTATTCATCTTTCTCTTTTTGCATTTAATATACACAACCAAATAATTGCATAGTTAAAGATCGAGTAATGTGTAATTTAAAATGAAAAATATGTTGTTGATTTTCAGCATCTCTGTATTGATGTTAATAAATAAGAAAATAATTCAGCATGGGAGGCAAACTTTGATTAATATTGATCTCATCATTTCCATAATAACTTCCTGGTGAGAAGTATCTTAGCCACTAATGATAGCCCCCCAGTGGCACAGAGGTATGTGTGCGGACTTATACCGTTAGAGACCGGGTTTCAATACCCGTGGTAGACAGAGCACAGATAGCCCTTTGTGCAGCTTTGTGCTTAATAACAAACAACAACACCATTGATATATAATAATTCAGGACAATTTGACATTAAGATTCCCACATTACTTTTGGTGGTCTTATGACCATCAGTGGTTAACACCTAATTCCACACCGCAAAGACATTTTTACAAACAACACAACTGCTTCATCAACTTACACGGTTTTTTGAAGTGTTGACCATAATTTCTTCATTGACGTCAATCGTGCTCAGTGTGGTGGACATGATTATGTGCTACATAAAAATATGTAGCCCTATATCTCGGATATTTTAGGAAGGTAGAATTTTCTTCATCAGGGGTAAACTGGGGTGGTTCGTCTTTTGAATTTACTGTACTGTGTTTTTACTGCATGACAGGAACCGAATTACGGGACTTACTGCGCCCACAGTTGTAGTGCGAAGCTTGTTCAATGTAATCATGTATTGAACCCCTGACGCTTCGATCCTCAGCCAGTCACGCAGGCCAATAAGCCACGCCCGTCAATAACCTGAGCAATAAAAAAGTTTTTATCTTGTTAATAAATATTGCAAGATAAGATAAGCGAAGCATTTACTTCCAAGTGCAAGCAATAGGAAAATAAACGAATATCTAAGCTTTCTTCATAAATACCCAACAATTTAAATATATTTCACAAACATTATACGTTTTTAAGCTAATCAACACATCAGGGTAAGTACAAAGTTGTGATTAGTTAATGCAAATCCCAAACAAGCAGGATCAGGACCCACTCATAACATCAAAGGTTAGTTCGAATAATATCTTTAAAAAAGTACTTGATCATGAGAAATTAAATAACTAACATTACGATCACTTTAAGCCTACTTATAACGTTTCTCTTCCTTTATTTCAAGTTTCGTAACAACGTCTTAATTCCTTTGATCATACGATTCATTGAATTATCAATTAATTGTTGAACTCAACATGTTACACTTACTGCTTTTATTAGACTCTCTTTAGCTTTAACCTATAACCCACAATATGTTACTTTTATATGGAAATATTAGAAGAAGTTTACAGCTTGTGTTACACGTGACTGGTGTCGCTTTTACAGGTGAAGATCATTTTTGATTATGTTGTGTACTGTTGCCTGGACACACGGACGGCTTTTGCTACTGACCTCTGTGTTTGTAGGTTCTCTCTCAGCTGTTCCGAAACGTCACACTTAGCTTATCATGGCTGAAGTACGACTTGTTGTAGGTCTTTTTCTGGAAGGACCTGGTTTCCAAGTTGATCTATATTCCATATTTTTTGTTATTAATTTGTTTGTTTACCATTAAATACAAAGAATATCCCCGTCTTGGAAATCATAAATCCCCGATCTGAAAACAATTTTATGATCTGGATGTAAGAATATTTTACTTCGGAAAGGGCTGTGACATACCCTTTCCAAAAATGGTCAATTTGGGTGGTATCACACTACCTGCGAAACACCAAAGACTGTGAAATGTAGTTCTGATTCATGTTTTTCCACTATGACCTTATATTGGTTGTGACTTGCTGATTTGCATATTCAAAATTGTTTTAGTATAACATACTCAACTCTCTGGTTCGATCTTACATGTAATGAGACGATTTACAAAACTTTTTGTATATAATTATAAAAACAGAATTTTACTAAACAACACTTTCAGATGATGAAACTCCAAGAACAATTGTAATTATGCACAAAGCTACACAATGGGCTATCTGTGCTCTGCCCACCACGAGTATCGAAACCAGGTTTCTAGCGTCATAAGTCCGCAGACATACCGCTGTGCCACTGGGGTGCTCCAAGAAGAAGAATTAGCGACTTTACCTTTTTTTTTTAAATTCTCACTAATATTACAATTATACAACTGAAAAGCTCATAACGATTTATACAAAATGTTAATAGAAATATACTTTGAAGATATAAATTTTGAGGTTGGTGAAAAAGTGAAGATTCATTTGTCTATATCACATTGTACAAACAATAAAATGTAGAACACAATTACAACATCTACGATTTGAAGATTTTGGAAAATCAGCCACAATAATTTCAGTTAGGAATGGACAAATACAATGTGCTAAAATATGTTTCCTCCAACTTGCGTGCAACAACTGAGAGTCAATAAAAGAGATCCTTTTAATAAGAAGTGCAACAATCTTTCTACCGCTATAAGGAAACAAGAGACTGAGGAATCAGTGTAATCAATCCTGTTTTGTTTGACTTATTATGGTTAAAATATATTGTTTACAAAACAGGTATATATATGTATAAATAGATTTAATTTTATGGAGTTGAGAAAAAGAATCACAACCACAAAACAAACATTTAATTATATTTCCTGTAAGGTTTGGATACCCTGTGTAAAAGTCACGCTATCCTTCCTTTTGATGTAATCTGTTTTATAGAAATTTTTGTAGCTTTTTTAAATAAATGTATATATATATATATACATTTAATTGAAACACATACAAGTTCCACCTTGCTTTCTCATGACTTTGTTATACACATATACTGTATATAACATTATTATTTCGAAATAAGCATGTTCACTGTCGAATACACCACTAGATGCCGACTCTATCGTGACAGCAACACCTACAGACGTAATTACGTTAAACATTCTACATCTGAAATTTGCCCCATATGTGTATGACATACTGAATGTTCCAAACAGAAAGTAACAATTAACACAGTAAATTAAAGTCTATGATAATTATGATTTATTTGGATTACTGAGAACAAAACTTACAACATGTTTATTGTGCTTATTTCTAAACTTCACAAATTAAGATGTATGAGCTGGCGAAATGAAGTAATAGACAGTATAAAAAATGTAAATATAAAACACTTTATTTTACTATTAACTCAGCGTAGTTTCATCAAGACTTGAAGATGATACAGCAAAAAACGCCTTTAACATGGTGGCTGACTGGAGTTAGTTAACACGAAGACGTTCAAGGACAAGAATATTTCTTAGTACAGGAACTGAGACAAGACTGCATTTCTTAAAATTACTTACATTTCATATATATATATATATGTATGTATATGTTAGTTTCTTCGCATTATAGGTTGTGTTCGTACTAATAGTTGTGCATAATCTGTTTGTCTACTCCCTTTTAAGTACTGTAAGAACTCTATAAGTTTTGTTTAGAAAATATTGATTAATTAAGATTAATTTAAATTCGTCAATATGTGTGTACAATAGATAATAAGAAACGAATAAAGGGTAAAATTAATAATTAAACATTTTATTTGTAATTTTCAGCTCGTATCCAAGTTATTCTTCTCTTATTCCCTATTTTTCGTACTTTAACTACAAGTGGTTTTTTCCTTTTCCAAAATACTTTTTTGCAGTCTACTAAAGCTTTTCATTGGATTATAATTAAAGTTGATTTGCTGGCTAAAGTCCAGATAGTACACGTCCCAATTAACTGATACATGCAGGAAAAAAAATGTTTAAAATGACGTCATTCGAAAGTTAATATTGTAAGAATGTATAGTATATACACATAAGACCTAGAGCAATAACAACGGCACTGTTCTTGTTCACTAATTTTCACAAACAACCAAGTGAACAAAAATATAACGAAGCTATCCTCTGGTCATTATATATGTAACTGTTGCTTAGCATGTGCATGCAAAGTCATATTCCGTTCTTAATTTGCAGTCAGAGTCATCATTAAAGGCAAATAATAAAACTTCAAACTCTTGAATTGATTAGTCTTACATAATTAAAAACAAGGCTATTGAGTCTCATCTACTGACTTCATATAATTAAAAATATGTTCAAAGATAAGATATTTTAATATTTACCAAAATTATATCCTCTGGAGGGACAGCGATAAATTTACGAACTTACAACGCTAAAAATCTGGGTTCCATTCCCATGATAAGCACAGCAGATATAACAATGTGGCTTAACTCTAGAACAAACAAACCAAAATTAAATATTATTTCAGAATAATGTTTAACAAGAACTTTTTGTTCTGTTTTTCAGAGTAGTGGTAAACAGATGCAAAATTAAAGGGAGAACATTTCTCTAACTTGAGAGTGGGATAAAAGTTGGTATACGTTTGTAACTATGAAAATGGTGGCATGGCCTGGTGGTTAAAGAGTTCGGCTGACAACCTGCGTCTCGCGGGATCGATTCCAGTCACCGAACATGCACGCCCTTTCAGTCATGTGGGCGTTATAAAGTGACGATCGATTCCAGTCTTCATTGGTAAAGTGTAGCCCAAGAATTGCCTTCCCTCTTGTCTGTCACTTCAAAATTAGCGACGGCTAGCGCAGTTATTCGTCGAGTAGTCTGGTGCGAAATTCAACAAAGAAACAAACAACCTCTCAGTGTAACGAGTAGATTAATCTGCAATTAAAACTAAGAAGCTGTGCCACTAAAAGTTCTTGTTTCTTACCACTTTAACACGTATTTTTAAAAAATTAATATTTTGATATAAGTCGGAAAAACTTACAGCTAAAAATATTTTTAACTTAATACACATTGAAAATGCTGGATACTATCGCTAGCTTCATACTTTTTCACATTACGTTTTAATCATGAACTGTTAATAAAAAATAAAATTAAAAAAGCAAACACAACAAAATTAAACCCCTAAAAATTAGTAATGAGAACAGTATCCCTTTACTTCAGACACCGAGCGCTGATTGGCTATCTCATCGAGGAGGAGGGAGTAGATACGACGATGCCATAGTGTCAGAGACGATTACTTCCACGAAGTGGTACCAGAGGGCGCGTTCATATGACGCTGATAGTGCAGATAGTTTACGAGCGAACCACAAGAAGGTGATGTGGATCAACATGAAATTAACTTTATAGTAACAATCAAAGTCTTCAAATTAATAATTTAATCTAATATACATAACATTATATTTACAGTTATCAATGTTGATCACAGTTACGCAATTATCACAATTACAGTTTCGCTTCATAAGTAAATCATTAAACATGTTATTGTAATCTTATCAACTTTATCGTTTATTTATTTCATTGTATACGTCTTACGAAGGCAGGCGGTGTTTCTATAGGCGGATGGTATTACTTGGCAAATTATGTTACTAAGGTTAGTGCTGCTACGACGGATGGTTATCCTCTAAACTGTCTTAAAAGTAACAAGTAAAACCCTTTTTCAACGAAACAACTATTACAACACTGTTACATATTATCTTAATTTATCTATCATTTAAACAAGGCAAATATTATAGTCAATAACTTACCTTACATACTTTTACAAATATACATCGCTTTATGTATAAAGCACTTCACTAATTCCTTAGTTCTATAGTTTTTGCTTCTAATTTGCAATACGTACATTTTGCATTTTCTGACATTTTATATGTACACTGAGTGGTCACAAGTAAATAGACACCTAATTTTTCGTCATTTAACTGATTTATGCTAACTAATTTGTGTTCACAAAGCATTATATAAATGAAAATGGTCTGCACACTAATTAT